AGAGAAGATTTGGATCACTTATTTCGTGATTGTGCTTATGTTAAGCCCATTTGGCAAATGTTATTTGGTTCCCAATGGATCCCTCATGATAGAGGCATCTACCTTAACTCTTGGATAAAGCGGTTCTTGAAAGGAAAACATCCGTTTGCTTCTATGGAGAATTATAAAATTCTTTTTATTATTTCTTTATGGCAGATTTGGAAGGATAGAAACTTAAAAAAAAATTGACAATAAAATCTTGCCTTGGCAACAAAGTTGTTTTTTTATTCAAAATTACACTTCACAAATTGTTGAAGCGTTTAAAGCATCTATTCTTTTGAAATCTGTAAGTCCTAAATTTGTGAAATGGTGTTTACCTCCCACAGGTCGAATCAAGTTAAACACGGATGGTTGTGCTCGAGGGGATCCGGGCAATGGAGGCTTCGGCGGATTGTTTCGAGATGACTCAAGAATTTGGATATATGGGTACTTTGGGAAGCTAGAAGTATGTTCTAGTTTAGAAGTTGAGCTATGGGGGATTTATAGAGGGCTCACTGTTATCTTTCAAAAAGGCTACATAGATGTTTTGATTGAATCAGACTCGGCTGAAGCTGTGGATCTGTTGCAAAACGCAACTGTTGTTAATGCTGCTTTCCGGAGTATTGTAGAAGATGCAAGACATCTCTTGAAAAGATGTAGATGTTCTATCCAACACATTTTGAGAGAAGGAAACCAGTGTGCTGATAAGTTGGCTAAGCTTGGAGCTGATCAAGAAGAACATTTGGTTGTCATGGAAGACCCTCCTAAGGAGGTTCAAAGTTTGGTGGTGGCTGACATGCTGGGGCATGAATACCAGAGACTCTAGGCCTTTTGTTTGTAGTTGTTCGATTTCTTGCTTTTATGTTTTTTCCTTTGTTCTTTTGTGGTCTGTTCTAATCCTTTCCGAAGTACCTAAAAAAAAAAAATTTATTATTGTGGCTTGTGTCAAATACTATTAACAAGAAAATTACTGGTGACCATTAACTACTATGGCAAATACACTGCATCTTCCCTAATTCATTTAACTTGTGAAAAAATAATGTTTTAAGTGTTGAAAAGAAAAGGGAGGAAGATGAAAGAGTCAAGAAAAGTAAATAAAAATGTAAATACAAACAAATACAAAAGGGTATTTTTGGTTCTTTAGTATAATACATTTATTGTCTTTACAATTTCAATGGTAAGGTTGTTGTCACATTCAATGCCTCTTGACAAATACCCTAAAAGGCAATGGTTAATAAAACGAAACCTTATGAGTAATGCTAGAGATACAAAAAAAAAAAAAAAAAATTATCAAAATTTCTATATGAGACATTATCTAATAATTATTGTATGGGTGATTTTCTGACCACATTGTCAACTCAGTATTCAGCTGGAGAGTACTGGCAGAATAGATGACACCTGGCTAACCTGCAACAGAAAGAAAAGATTTCGGCGGTGGTTCGTCCACCCGGAGGCACTTCGACGATCAAATGAGTATATCTCTCAAAGATAATCAATAGTGCTAAACTCACAGTTCTGAGTAATAATTGCGTACCTTAGACTCACGGGGGTGCCTCTCTTTTATAGCTAACTCAATCATTGTCTCAACAGAAGCCTAGCTTCAATGGACTTTAGCTTAGTACTTACCCTGGACTCTTCAATAAATAGAGATAAACTCCCTAAAAGTTTTATCCTTATCCAAGCTGAGTCCCCTCATCCACTACAAGAAATTACAGCTTTGGCGACTAATTTTGCCGACTAAACTCAATTTAGTCGCCAAAGGTGTACACATTACCTACTAAAAATTTTTTGGTCGCCAATGGTACACACATTAGCTACCAAACATTATTTGGTCGCCAAATAAAAACGTATTAGCTACTAAACTGTTTTGGTCGGTAAATGTGACATACTTCGCTACTAATGTCATATGCAGTCAGAGTAGTCTTCACTAATGGTGACTAATTACATGTTAGTCGTTAAATATAAACTTTTGGCCGACTAAATATCACAATGGTCGCTAATTGTATAGTATTTATACATTATTATTTTTTATTTTCGTATTTATTTAATTTTTGGCTACTAATAGTGTGTTAGTCGTGGAAATAATTGGGTTTCGGCGACTAATTAAATTTTGGTCGCCAAATGATAAAGTTTCACCGACTATGTTTTTGGTAGCCAAACGTGCCACGAATTTGTGGAGGGAATATTAATTTTTCATAATATATATTAGCGACGAAAATGATTTTTGGTCGGTAATAAATATTTTTTTCTTTTATTTTCATTGCAAAAGTATTCCATTTCCCTCCCTCTCGCACTCTCGCCTCTATCACTGCTCTGTCTCCATCGCAAGAGTTGCTGTATCATCCCCCGAACTCCCTCCCAGGTATCTCCCTCTCTCTCTCTGTGTATCTCTCTCTCGATTTCTTAAACATCTCACAGAGGCCTCTCGGTTTCCCTCTTTCTCTCTCTCTCTCTCTCTCTCTCTTTCTCTCTGTTTACACACACACACACACACACATACATGCATATATATATATATACACACACACACAAATCATATATTCACAACCTTGATTCCATATATACTCAATTTTATACACAAATCATATGTACACTCACGCCTCTGCCCTTTTCTCTACAGGAATAGTCGCCATCGCCATCGCCATCGCCGCAAGGATTGCTGGATCATACCCCGAACTCCCTCCCAGGTATGTCCTCTATTTCGCATCTGTCTCTCCCTCCCTCTGTATCTCCCTCTTGATTTCCTTCTATTTCTCTCTGTTTGTATTTACACACACACATACATAAATATGTATATATATATATGTGAAAACACACAAAATATGAAGTAGGAAATGCCCTCAATTAGGGCATTATTATTGAAATGTGATTCAAATTAAATATTAGGGCAATGCCTGGGGTGAATCAAGCCATTTGCTACATAAACTAGGGCAAAGTCTTGTAGTAGTAGTAGTATATATAGCAGAGGTGCACTGTTTTTCCCCTTCTGTTTATAGTAGAGTGCAACCATCTTTCAAGGGCAAAAAAGATATTTTTCTTTCCCCCTAATATTTTTAAAAATCGCATTAAAGTATACTGAAAGAGGCTTGTCCATTATGTTTCTAATTCCACCCACATATTGAATGAGAGCACTATAGTTTCTTTACCAAAGATGAGTAAAGAAAAAAGTGGCAAGGCTCTGCCAAATATCTCATTTTCTCTTACCAATATATTATTGGTACCATTATGTTTCACACCAGAATGATGTAATTGTTGCATTCTACAAATTATAACCCATATTAATGGGTCTTTTATGTTAAAGTTTTTTTCAGTCTACCACATCATTTTGTATAAAATGAATATGTATCTTCTTGTTTTCACTCTTATTTGTATAGGCCTTGCATGTCGTATAAAACAAGTTGTTTAATTTGTGTAGTTCGTTTATTTATATAGATCTAGTTTTAGTCACCAGTTTCAGTCACCAAAAAGACAATTTTTTAAATGCAACAATCTTACTACAGTCTCTTGTTGGAAATTTATTAAAGTAGGCTTCCATTGCCCTCCCATATGATTTGTTCTTTCCTACTTAATCTGATCCAAATCTCAAAACTATTTTTTCTGGTGCAGTGATTGATTCATCTATGTAGTTAAACTCAACCATTTATCAATGCATTGGTTATAGATAATGGTTCTAGTATGAAAAATAAATCTACTCTTGTTTTGAACAATCAACATCCTTTAACAATTGAGGCAGGAATACAATTTAAACTCTTTTAACATATGAGGCATCACGTCTTCATTCTAGTATTACCTATTTCAATATGCAACACACTTAACTACTTCAAATTGAAGGAAGAAAACAAAAAATCGGAAGGGGAAAAACAGTGCATCTCTACTATGCTTGGGGTGAATCAAGCCATTTGCTACACTTAATTGTTTTCGTAAGTTTATTATTTTCGTAAGCATGACCTTTTCAAAAGGAATTTTTATGGTTTTGAGCTAGATATACAATTAAATCATACATATGGATAGCATTGCCTAGCGTAAATGTTTACTTTTGTGCTATAAATAAGCATCATAGTTTGTGGATGGATAGCATTGCCTTGTCTCGAATGGATAGCATTTACTTGTTAAATTCTTGGAAACTACTTGGAAAACATGATAATTACATTGTAGTAATATTTAAACATCATTACATAAAAAACTACAAGGAGGCTGCTCTTGGTATGGGAACTGAGGAGAATATAACCTTGATGCTTCCATTTTAGTTCAGGTTGGAAATTTACGATGCTTGCATCATGGCGGCATATTGCTGATGTTGCCTCCTTAGTAATTTAAGTCCGTATTTTCAATGAAGGAGAAAGCTCATTCATGCCCAAAGCTTAGGTTGAAAATGTGTGAATATGCATGTTGCGGACATGCATAGCTGACATGTATGATTTTTTGTTTTATGATTTTCAGAATAAGATGAATGTTCTTTTCTCTTTTTTTGGTGTTTCTGTCTTTACTTTTCTATTTTCTGTTCTCTTCTTCACTTCCTTTTTTTTTGGATGTGCAATGACTGATTTCAGCCGTCACAACAATGCATAGCTCATGTGTTTGCAGCCAATGTTGTAAACTTTGCTTTTACTGCCTCAACCTCACGAGTACCCGTGAGGCATTTTTTTTGTAATAAATAATATGTCATGCACACACACTGTGAAGAGCATGAAAATGGTTTTGTTTCTTTTGATATATCATTCTATTATTGACCATATGGTTTCACTAGTAGTAGTGCTCTACTAGTTATGTTATCTAGTGGTCCAAAATTACGGGTCATTTCTTAAATTAACTTCCATAATTATGCAGTGTTTTAGAACAAATCGTGTCATAAAGTTCCACCCTAAAAGAGATTTATGTGACAAGCCAAATAGTGAATGAAAAACAACATAATCTATCTCAACTTGAAATGCGTGTTCTCATTTGTTCCTCGGTTAATCTTTGTGTGAGTTGTAGGTAACAAAATGGACAAGAGTTGGATGACGATAAATAATAGGCTGACAAGTAAAGAGTATCAACAAGGGGTGAAGTCATTCCTTGATTTTGCTACGGAAAATTTAGGCGTAGAGGATGAAATTAGGTGTCCGTGTGTCGATTGCATTAATGGCACAAAATATAGCAGACAAGTTGTGTGGATGCACTTGATCCGAAGAGGCATGGTATCTTCATATATAACTTGGGTGCATCACGAGGAACATGTTCCCGTGTCTCATCCTTGTGTATCAAATGACCAATGTGGAGGTAGTGGCGAATGTATGACAGATATCGATGATCCGTCCATGGATGAATTGCCTATTATGTTGGAAAAAATTTACGTGAGTGGTCTTATGGATGATCATACCAACGAGGAACCTAATGGTTTGGAGAGGGAGGATTTGCATAAGTTCACTAGGTTATTCGAAGATGCACAACGTAAAGTTTACCTGACATGTGAAAAGTTTTCTGTGTTATCATTCGTCATTAAGATGCTTCATGTGAAGGTGTACAACAAATGGAGCAACAAGTCATTCGATATGGTTATGCAGGCATTCAAGGACATTCTACCAGAATGTGATCAAATAGTTCCATGGACACTCTATGATGCTAAGAAGTTCTTACGTGACTTGGGTTTGGGATATGAAACAATTCATTCGTGCAAGAATGATTGTGCACTATTTTGGAAGGAGAGTGCTAATTTGGAAAAATGCCCTACATGTGATGCGTGTAGATACAAGTTGAACGATGATGGTGGTAAAAAGATTCCATACAAGGTATTACGGTACTTTCCATTGACACCGAGGTTGGAAAGACTATATATGTCCAAAAAAATAGTCGCAGATATAAGATGGCACAATGAGAAGCGTGGTGGTAAAAAGATTCCACACAAGGTATTGTGGTACTTTCCTTTGACACTGAGGTTGAAAAGACTGTATATGTCCAAAAAAACAACCGCTGATATGAAATGGCACAATGAGAAGCGTGCGGATAATGACATATTAAGGCACCCGGCCGATGGTAAAACATGGAAGGACTTTGATAAGCAACATCCGATGTTTTTTAATGACTCGAAATGTAAGGCTAGGGCTGGCAACAGATGGTTTCAATCCATTTGGGAATATGAGCACATCATATAGCATTTGGCCCGTAATCTTAATACCTTACAATCTCCCACCGTGGAAGTGCATGAAAGAGCCATATTGCATGATGTCATTGCTTATTCCCGGACGGTCGGCACCTGGAAGAGACATTGATGTTTACTTGCAACCACTAATAGAAGAATTGAAGAATTTGTGGGAGCATGGTGTGCAAACATATGATGCATCAAACGGGCAAATTTTTAGAATGCATGCGGCGGTAATGTGGACCATAAATGACTTTCCTGCCTACGGTAACATGTCAGGGTGGAGTACAAAGGGTTACTTGGCTTGCCCTAATTGTAACAATAATGCATCGTCCCAAGGATTACGAAGTGAAATAGGGTATATGGGTGCTCGTCGCCACTTGCCTGAGAACCACACTTGGCGAACAAGTAAGCTCTTCAATGGTCAAACAGAGCATAGGTCCAAACCTTTGGACTTATCGGGGGACCAAATACTAGAGCAAATTGATTCTGGCACTTACAAGCCGTATGGAAAGCACCCACAAAATCGAAAACGACAAAGGAATGAACATCAAAATTTGAATTGAAGCAAGAGAAGCATTATGTTTGACTTGCCCTATTGGAAAACGTTGAAGCTTCGACACAACCTTGATGTCATGCATATTGAAAAGAATATATGTGACAATGTCGTTGGGACACCTTTGAGCGTAGATGGAAAGAACAAGGACATGGACAAAGCACCCTTAGATTTGGAGGACATGAAAATACGTAAAGAGTTACACTTGAAGAGGCGTTCTAATGGGTCATTTGAGAAGCCTCCCGCATTGTATGCATTGTCTGTGAAAGAGAGAGAAGGCTTTTGTGATTTCTTGAAATCAATGAAGTACCCTGATGGCTATGCAGCAAACATCTCCAATTGCGTGACCGCTCAAGCTGGAAAATTATCTGGCCTCAAAAGTCATGACAGTCATGTCCTTATACAACGACTTCTTCCAATTGGGATGCGTGGCTACCTTAATAAGGAAATCGGAACGACACTTTTTGAGTTGGGAAATTTCTTCAAACAATTGTGTTCAAAGGCATTGAAGCGTTCAGATTTGCATAAATTGGATGAACAAATCGTACTCATACTTTGTAAGCTTGAGATGATTTTCCCGCCGGCTTTTTTTGATGTCATGGTCCACTTGGCAATTCACTTGCCTCGAGAGGCTATGCTTGGAGGCCCAGTGCAATATCGATGGATGTACCCAATTGAGAGGTATTAACTCAACCATCGTATTACTGTCAAATTTTAATTAGCGCTTTACTGCTGATATAAAGATTGCAGTATAACATTGTCATCGGCTTGCAAAATTAGGTTGCTTGGCCGTCTAAAAGGGTTTGTGGCCAACAAAGCTCATCCTGAAGGTTCTATTGTCGAGGCTTACATTTCCAAAGAATGTACAACATTTTGTTCAATGTATTTGGATGGAGTTGAAACATTGTTTAACCGCCCAGAAAGGAATTATAACATGGGTGACCGTGGCCCAGGGTTGGCGGTATTCACTCAAACTGTACGTCCCTTTGGTCTAATGATAAGGGCGTCCGATGTGTCCGTAGCTGAACGCGAGTTGGCTCATTGGTTTGTCCTACGCAATAGCACAGAAGTGGATAAACACGTAGAGTATGAATCCTTCAAACGTATTCATAATGTTTTTTGTTGTAAATTGATTAGTCTTTATCTTAGTACATATTTTTGAATCGCATTTCTTGTAACTAGGGAGCACAAGAACTTGTTACACCAACAAGCCGGTGCGTTCGACATCGAAAACAGACATAAAAAAGAATTCCCTAAATGGTTCAAAGATCATGTAGGCTAGTATGCTCATATCCTACCATAGATCGTACATTACGTAAATGTCACGCATGCTAATAACATGACACATGTTCTTCATGTAGATGAATGAATTGCGGAGCCAAGTTTCCCCCGAAGCAATTGATGATATGTGGTCATTAGCCAATGGTCCTAGTGGCTTAGTGAACACATATTCAGGATGTATTTGTAATGATGTCCGTTATCATACTATCGACCGTGACAACCGTCAGAAAAGTCAGAATAGTGGATTAGTTGTGGAAGGGGAGCATCAAGGCCAATTGATACACTTCTATGGACACTTGTGCAGAGTGTGGAAACTAAACTATTTGTTCAAACGTCAGATTGTATTGTTCCAATGTGAATGATTTAACACCGGTAGTAGTAGAACTATGCGTATAGAACCACATTTCACAACAGTTGATGTAACAAGTCGATGGTACAAAGATGACTTATTTGTATTACCAAGTCAAGTTGAACAAGTATTCTATGTTAATGACACCAAATTAGGTACCAATTGGAGAGCCGTAGAAAAGTTCCAACATCGAGGAATTTGGGATATGCCAGAGATGGATGTCGTACAACCTGATGATGTGCTCCAACAAGAAGAAACCACCGAGGTCGTACCTGCTATGGCTATTGATGATGATGTGGTTTTGAGTCGACATGATATTGAATCTAAAATTATTCCAATAGAAGTGTTGCAATCTGTCAGAGGTGTAGAAGCCAAGGGTGTTACAAATGATGCCTTCATCTGTGATGATGAAAATGGATTAATGAGGGAGGGTGATGACACAGACGAAGAATATGACCTACAAAGTGATTTTGATACAGATGTCGATGTAGAATCTTGATGTATATCATGCTTTAGTGCATGTCATAGTTAGAGCAATGTGAATGTTCAATTGGTGCACAAATACAAAGGAAAGTCATTATAATGAAGGGGGATCTATCCTTGTAAATGTCAATATGTCGTGATATAAAACACTATCATGAATGAGTTTTTTTTTTATTATTATTATTTTGGAACAATTGGTGCTCGTCAAACTTCTATTATTATGAAAATTCTATAGTTATAATAAGAAAATCTGGAAATCTAAGCTGCTTAACTCTGAAATTTGGAAATTTGGAAATTTGAGCCGCTTAAAATCTGAGCTGAAATCTGAGCTGCTGATATAAAACACTATCCCAGGGTCTCTTTGCCCTTTCAATATCTCTATTTTCATCAGAAAGCAAAACTTGCATTTCAGGAGGCAAATTGAGCTGTTTAAATACCTGTATTGGCATTCGAGGCAAAAACATATATGCATTGATGAAAATAACATATCCCAAAAATTCCAAAAATGTTATATGGAGCCACAGGCAATGAATACCTCAATGGAAAAGGATGGCGTAAAAGATTCCAACAGACATGCAAGAAGATATACTAGTCCAGTTGAAGTCTTCATAACTACTGAACAAGAAAGTTGGTCCTCCTTGTAAAGCAATATTCCAGGTCAATTGCATGCAAGAACACAAGATTGGCAAGTAGGGCATCAATCACCTTCTCCATAGCTTCAAAATATTGCACTACATAATCACCAACTTTTTCTCCAAATGCCTTGGTTAAGGGATGCAATTCTTCTCCTAGAGCATCAGGTATGATAGAATGATATCCTACGCCTTTACTTTCTTCCAAAGCTGTCAATTTGCATTGTGATTAAAGGTCAAACCATGCAATTAGAAGAGAAAACTAAAAATTCCAAAACCCATCAATCTAGCAACAAATATCCCTCTGAAGCACCAGCACAATATATAAATAAATCATTTTTCGAGGAAAACACATGACAAAGGAACAAGGATAATGCAAACCAAACACCTAGAATATCAGACATGAGACTGGTGTGATACAATTTCAAAAAGGAGATATTATATATATTTTCTAATTTCAAGTACTCGTAAGCAAAATAACGACCATGAGGTATGAATGGAGCATGAAAAAGGCCTATTCTATCATTAGGGATAGCATTTGACCCAAAAACAGGATGCCGGGATGGGATAGGTAAAACCAGTGAAAGGAAATATGAATGTAACCTGAAACAGGTTTAGGAGGGATCAGGATAAGTGGATTTTATACTACGCCACAACATTTATGTCCTCACAAGATCATATAAAAATGCATCATCAAGATAAAATTTCAACGAGAGTTTAGGTAGCCTCCTTCACCCCTATTCTAGTTCTTTTAAAGGCACTTTCTGCTTGGATCAAGCTGGCCATCCCAGCCTTGTGAACGGCATGATATATTCCTAATTTCCAATTACGGCTCTAGTTCTACTATTCTACTCCAATTGTTCACAAATAAATCAGCACAATATGCAAAAGTAAGCTGCTTTTTAAGTTGTTATATTACTATAAAAAATGTCCTATGCTTAGTGAAACTTTAATCCCATGCCCCTTCTAAAAGAGAGGCCTCACAGCCCTCACCCTGCTCACACCAATCTCATGGACAAGCTTACGCAAAGGATATGCATGGAATGTATGCTTGCTATGCAGGATCTAAGTTTCATAGGTTCTCATTGGCATTATGTCTTGGTGTATGTAATGCCTACATGGTACAACTTTAATAATTATTGTTATTATTTTTTGATGAGTAAAATTATATTAGAAAGAAGGCGCCAAGGGAGTGTCACCCATATACACAAGAAGAAAAGCACTATAAGAAATAAAAACAACGCACATATTTATACATTAACTATTTACTCAAAAGAGCATGAAATCCAAAAAATGGTTCAAAATGGATCAACACTCAAAAAACTATTTATACATTAACTATTTCCTCCTGTTTCTATTCAATCAATTGTCAGTTCCTGCTTCTAGGACCATCCAAAACACTGGATTGGATGCTATGCTTCTAAGTTTGTCACTATAACCTTATCTTATATTCTCCACATCACTGGTATTTTAAAATTTCACTGGGATAGCCCGAATGATATCTCTTTCTCAGAGTTGATTAGAATGCTATGCATAAATGGCGGCAATCAATAGCGAAGATACAAAAAAACCTATGTTGAATAATCTTGCTCCTTTTTGGCCTCCTTTTGTAATTTTCTAACATTAGTTATGGTTTGAATTTGTGCAGGAAGATGCTAATATTCTGACAGCTTCAGGTGATCACAGTGTAAGTGAAAAAAAAACCTATGTTG